GCCCGCTGTTGCGGGAAGACGGGCTGCTTCCCGCTGGCCGGAGGGCGCTGGTTCCGTCTGCGGGCCGGTAGTCCTGTGCCGCTGTTAGCTGGGCAGCCGCGGCGAACCAGGATGGGAGTGAACGGCGGGGCTGGTTCAGAACAACTCGCTTTTACGTCTTTGCTTTTTCTTTTTTTCTTTTTTTTTTTTTCAACAGCCAGGAAAAGAAACAGTAAAGAAACAGCCATTGCACTCGAAAAATTGTTGCCAAAGCGATGTCAGGTTCTTGGACTGGTAACCCCAGGGATTGTAGGTAGGAGGAAGACGTGTGATTTTGTGAGGGATCAGCTTGAAGGTGTCCAGTGTATCACACATCTACTCCAGCTCTTGTTTATCACCCTTTCATACGGTTTTGAAAGCATAGTCCTGCACACTGATGGGAAAGTTCCCACACAGTGATCACATGTTCTGCTCCCACCTTGGTCACTGCTAGCTTCAATTTTAAGGAGTTCACAGTGTTATTGCTAAGTCATGTGGAGCTTAAATTCTTACTTTGTGTGACACAGATATAATTAAAAGGGTTGATTTAATTGAGCAGGCAGCATATTGCAGGTCTTCCTGGTACCTTAATGCAATTATTTAATGTTTCTTGGGTTTATCTATATTTTTTAGAGTCACAGTGTGATTAATTGTACAGGGTATCCTCAGTGTGTACCTGTTTGTTCTGGTCGAGCAGCAGGCATGTGCAGTAACTATGGGAAATTCACAGCCTCCCTTGGCAGCCTTTTTCTAGTGCTTCATTTTTTAATCATTAGAAAGTTTTTCCTAGTTTCATGCCTAAAATTCTCTTCAGCATAAGTAGGGTATTTGCTTGTTGTCACTAGCATGATTCAATAATACACTCCCAATGTTTGTGTCAGTTTGCTTTATGCTGTCATCATGAGCTTGTATAACACATTTCCCCATTTTACTTGTGGGCCTTAAAAATCTGAGTGTGTTTGCGCGCCTGCAGAATTTGGCAGGGGGGCTTGAGATGGCGGTGTTGCACTGGGCTTGTTTTCCAGCTGATTTGTATTTGGTGTGGCAGGGGGCAAGTGTCCAAATATATCCATGTCTCCTTGTCCAAAGTGACTTCAGCGTGCTCTATAGCCAGCAGGGCTCCTGTGGGCTTCATCCTTCCAAAACATCAACAAAAAAAAAAAAGCCAGTTGTCAATTAGATACGTTGTTACGGAAATGAGCTGTCGCGTTTTACATCACCTAAGCTATCCTGCCTCTTCTCATCTGTGTTACAGCGTAGACGAAAGCCTTAGAACCACTGGATACAAGATGTCTGGTTTTGTGTCTTTGTAGTTACCCCTATGGGTTCAAGCAGCAATCAGCCTCAAGAAATTGAAGAGGGCGAAGCTGGGTTTGCTCTGTTGTTTCCCAAAATCGATGGGGTGAAAATTCACACCTTCCATTTTTCAAAAGACTTGAAGAACAGGGTCTTCGATGAAAGTAAATTTGCTGAAGCAGGTATGTCCTTGTTCTCCCCTTTATTTGCAAGTTGCTTTTGCATTTGCAAAGTGTTGCGTTGCTCTTCTAGGTGTCAGCGTGGAAGCAACAGCTTCTGTGCTGACCCCTCTCGTAGAGCGCGCTGCGGCTCCGTGGGGCTGCAGCCGGTAACTGCATCTGTTCTTGCTGTTTTCTGCGAGTGTTAAGGTTGAGTCTTCCTGAGTGTTGATCTTGGGTTACCTCAGGTTCCAAGCAGAGCTGTTCAGAGGGAGCTGTTGGGTTTCGAGCAGCCCCTGATGGGTTAAATGAAACTCTCAGTTGTGCCATTGGGAATGATTCCTGTCACTACAGTTCAGAAAGGAATGGAGAGGAGCTGCCTGTCTTCAAAATGACTTTGCATTTAGATCCTAAGTCAGGTGTTGTACAAGGAAAGGTAGAACAGAAGGCAGCATATTTCGGTAAATACAGTTTACATTCCTCACGTTGTGTCCTCAGCAGGGTCGATCATTTATGAAGAGTAACCTAATGAGGGTTTCTTGAGTCTTCTAGGAACCTGGGGGTTTTCTGCCTTGGGGTAAGCAACTGGCTGATGCATGTAGTTTATTTAATTTTCAGGTAAAGGTATTTACTGCGTTGTGGTTCTTGTTGAATAACCTATATGCTCGGTTCTTATCTGTAAATGGACAATTAAGGCTGCCAAGGAAAACTGAAGAGCTGTGCCTTTGGAGGCTGTGGTAAAACTCAAATGCTCTGCTAAAGAAGTGGAAAGCTGGAGGAATCAGATGTCAATCTGCTTTTCTTGTTAGATTCTTTTCAGAAATTCTTGCTTACATGGGGAATGCAGCCCAGCTCCCGAATGCCTGGGCAACTTGCGTCTTCTTTTTCCACTTGCAGCAATGGAAAGCCATTACTAAAGGTGTGATGTGTTCTTTGAGGAGAGGCTACAGTGGTTGGTCTTCAGGGGTCAGGACTTAAAAATCAGAGGATTGGTGTTTCTGGTTTTGTTTGTAGGTCTGAAGAATAACCCAGATCTTCGGGTGGTTCTTCTGTTTGGCTACAATTCCTGGAAGTCTGGAGCGACTCGTTTTCTTCATCAAATAGTCAATCCTTTGAATGAGAAAAGTATCATCCTGGCTGGGGGACAAGTGGAGAGCTTTACATCACTGACCTCTGAGAAGTAGGTATCTTTTTCAAGGTAAATTGTAAAGAAGATTTAAGATGGAAGAAACACTGGCTCTTTTAGTGACGTCATATTAGAAATGCCCATTAGCAGTAGTAAAATGATAAATCTTTTTAACAGAATAAAGTCCAACTGCTACAGTGTGATCTAGCCAGAAAAGCTGGAAGCTTTCTATGACAGTGTTACAAATCGGATTCTGGAAACGCAGCTAGGAGAAGCCCACTGCGGAGGAGATTTCCGGCTTCAGATACCCTATGGGTGTTTATCGCAGTCTGTGTTTACTCTCTGTCTTGCAGATAAATTGTCACTTGTTGAGACACAGACCATATATGTGAACATTGTGTTTCTCTATCGGCCTCATTTTGGTTCGCGTTGCAGAGCGGTAGCTGAAGGCGCCAGCAGGAGCGTGCCCCAGGAGCGCGCCCGTGTGCTGCCGCTGCTGAAGGACGCGGCACTCACAGGACAGGGCTGGATCTCGTCACTGGGATGTTGATCTGCTTCAAAACCTACTTCTGCCAGAGCAGAAGTTAATTCAGGTTGGAGGCGGTCTCCCTGGAACGTTCTCTAACTCGGTGCCTGTTGCCTTTCAGCAACAATGCCCAGCCCGGCGATGCCTGCGGCGTGGTTGGGCTGGCCTTCAGCGGTCCCCAGATCCAGAGTGCCACCGTTCTGTTAGACCAGGACGTAGCTGATGAGAGGACAGCAGAAGCCGCCATGCAGCGTCTCAAAGCAGCAAACATCCCCGAGCATAACACCATTGGCTTCATGTTTGCGTGTGTTGGCAGAGGATATCGGCATTATAAAACCAAGAGGAATATGGAAGCAGATGCATTTAGGAAGTTTTTTCCAAACGTTCCCCTCTTTGGCTTTTTTGGACATGGGGAAATAGGATGCGATCGAATAGTTACTGGGAATTTCGTATTAAGAGAATGTAACGACATAAAGGATGACCTGCTTCATGGTTATACTACCGTTATGACTCTCATTCATCTTGGTTCAGCTAAAGCAAACCAAGTGTAAATACGTTTTTATTGCTTCAGCAAGCTGTTTGTCTCATTCCAGAAAGCTGAGGAGTCTGGAAGAGTGGACATCTTGCAATCAAAGCCCCTTCCAAAATGTAAACACCATTTTTGGTAACATTACCGATCTTGTAGCCGGAATAGAGTTTAATATCATAGCTGCGAGAAAGCTTTGCGTTTTGTGTAATCCCCTGTGCACATCAGAATTGCAGGTAAATGATATTTGATGGGATTCTACGATTGAAGAAGGCCTCTTTTTTCCAAAATGAGAATGGTTTGCACAAACGGCAGTTGGAGTCCCAAGTATCAACACGCAGAAGGAAACACTACTTTGATGTGCTCTATTTATGTATGTAGAATGGTCTAGAAAAACCACTGATGCATAAAATCCACCATTTCCTGGATTTTATTTCAAGAGAGATGCACAATCTTCCCAGACTCTAGTCCTATTTACCGAACTGAATGGTTTTACTAGGTAAAATGAATGAAAATCTTTAGAGAAAAATAACAAAGTGCTCATTAAATAAAGATGAAAATATGTAAAAGTACCTTGCCTTCTGTTCTTGGAGAAAAAGCTCCCATTTAAAGAGGTGTCCAGCTACAAGCTCAACTTGTCTCACCATCCTGAACTGAATTTCAGTTGTCAGAAATACCTGGTTTAGAGTAATACCTGATACTTTGGGTGTACCAGCAGTTTCATCTTTGTGTGTTTAAGTTTACACAATCAAAATGCACTGGCTGCCTTTTCTTTTAGATTCTCTTGTAGCATGATGCTATTACAAACTTCTAAATCTAGAGTGTTAAAAATTAAGACTACCTCGTATCTTTAAGTTCCTTTAAAAAAGTGGTTTTCTTCTTAATTTGAAATTGTGGGCCACGCAAGCCCTGGCTGTGTCTTTATATAGAGCCTTCAAACCAGACTTCTGCTTTTGCATGTTTTTCATGCAGTCGCCCGCGGTCGCCTGTTTTTCATGCAGTCGCCGGGTTTGGTTGCTGCAGCTGGAGTGCGGTATTGCAAAGCTCACGAAGGTAAATTCAGCATAGTCTCAGTACAGCTAATAATATATTTACTCCCTTTTAAATTCTTTCATCCCTTTTACTTTAACTTAGTAATAGAATGACAAGAAATGAGATTAATTTTGCACCATTTCACCACACTTCTAAATGCCCAGTCAGGCAGCTGGCCTGTTTTCAGTGTGGGGAAAAAGAAAATGCTTAGCTTAGCTGTCTGTTGTACGACCGAATAACGGTAACTTTGCTTCGAATGTACCAACCGAGAGTACAGTTGGCAACTTTTTGCCCACATCTAGTTAAAACTTTTCCTGGACCTGTTACAATAGCAGCATATCTGTCCCGAGAGTTAACTGTTGGTTTCAGTTGGTGCTGAGCACAGACAGCACTTGCTCGTGGCTGTGTTGGTGATGGGTTTTTTAATGGGAAGACGGGATGAGCTGTGAACTCCCAGTGGCCTTCTAGGGATAGGAGATTAGCGAGAGTGGGTGTGACTTGGGAAACGTTTAGTTGCTGCGTTTGGAAGGAAAGCTCTTTGGAACTGGAGTGTGCTTGTATTTTAAGAGAAGCCTCTCAGTGGGAGGTGGATACATGTTTTTCAGCATAACTGGAATGTCATGTTTGTCCCTTTCTGTCTGCATAAGCTACGTATTTAACCAGGAGGCAAAGAAAATGGTTAATTTCTGTAACACAGACAGAATTCCCATAGCTGTTAGCACGAGTTAGGGCTAGTCAGCATGGCTACTAGCATAAGCCCATGAACTTTTTAACTTTTTGCTGCAGTAGAAGTAGATGGAGTATGGCCAACCACGTGTCCTGACTGTGCAAGCACGTCCAGAAGTGTCCGAAGAGGCAGTGAGAGCTCCAGTGATGGCACAGCAAAACGGGAAATGAGAGTGTGGTTTGAAGGGGCTAATCATCAGCGAGGTCCTGTAGCTGAGGACACTTGAGAGGTAAACATAGCACAGAAAAGGTGCTGGGGGGGGAACCCCGAGAGCCTGCACCAGAGTCCAGGATCAATCATGGCCAACCTCGGGGAGCGGGGATGAGCCCAGGGGACCCCAGAAGCATGCCCTGCATGGCTGGAACCGTTACGCTGTCTCTCCCAGACTGTGTCGTGTCGTCCAAGTGATGTGGAAGTGGTTTAGTTGATAAAATTGCAACATCTGTGATTAAAGTGTTTTGCTACCCAAATTAATTTTCCCTCCATGCTCATTTGCTCTTCAACCACAACCGAGTGAAACCAAAATATATCTGCTTAAAAGATGCACCTACCAAAAGGCAGAGCTGGTTCTTAATTTACAGGAAGTTTTGCAGTGCAATGATCTATACCTCTATGACTCAAAAAATAACCATGAGGTTTTAAAGTAGACAAAGTTAAATGACTTTTCAGGAATTGAGGCCAATGTGAATAACAGGACTGCTCTAAAGATAATTATCTGCAGTTACAGTGCTGATGGTAACGTGTTTTCAGCCAGAGAATATAATCCCTAAGTGACCACAACAAGATTTTGTTTTCGTTAAGGAAAAAAGAAAACCTTCAAAGTCCCAAGCCCTGCAGGGAGGAGTGATGGTTTTGCTGACAAAAGGTAAAAGACATTCTTTTTCCCCATGTTTTGAATATGAATAATGTTTCCTTGCACATTTTTTCTTAATACATCTTTCAATTAAGTGGACTGTAGGTTTCAAAAGTACAAAAAGTAATAGGCACGCGGTATGATGTGTATGATAGTTTTATGTTTGGTACTATTGCTGTCATTTTAATTTTAAAATTACTAATCCGAAGATCCCCTTATAGGATGTTTCTATAACATTCTAAGACGGTGGGGATAATTTGATAAAGAAGAGCTAGATTATGCTAAATTGTCACAACTGTACTGCCAGAAAGCACTTTTGGTTAAAAACTGCAGAAAACTGCAAAGACAGTGAACTTGGGGTTTGTTACTCTGTGTCAGATTTGTTTTGGCCCAGCTTACTATTGGAACAAGCCTTTTTTTAACGGAGGAATGAGTCATACTGAATCACGCCCCCTTGGCAGGGAACGGTAGACCAAGATATGTAAATGGTGCTGCCAAACTTCGACTTGCAGCATGCGGCAGAGAAGGCTGACAAGGACGTTAAACCCCAGACTGAATTATTGAGTTTGGTTTCATACGATTCTTAATTCTTTGATAAAAGTCTACCTCAAAATTCACTCGGTGTCATTGCCCCTCTTAGTTTATTTTTGTCTTTCTAAAAATTGAGAACTTTTTTCTACTGGAAGTGACTCTGGACTGGTGTTCATTAGCTTTCATATACAACACTAACTTTGGTATCGACCTAAGTTTTCTGAAACCCTAGTGTCTGGCCAAGTGAGAGAACAAGTTAAAAAACCATTTTCTATTCAGATGCCTACTTCTGTTTTACTCAGTGGAATGATACAAGAAAATAACATTTTAGTTATTTGGAAGTTTGCATAGTTAGAAGTTACAAAGATAGCAAACGTAAATTTAAATGGTCTTTTATAGGGTCTTTTCTATTATAATCTCTGAGCACTCTGCAAACATTAAGAAAATAATTATTTCCCCCCACTGTCTGATTATTTTTCATGATTAGATTGTGGGGAAGGTTTTCCTGTTCCTAAGACCATTTCTCAGCCAGACAGGCTCCAGAAGAGGCTGTTTCCCAGGGGCTCCAGATTAGCCTTGAGGGTGTTCTGTCTAGGAGTGTCTCCTGAACTACAGGCTCAAGGTGTGCAGCGAGGTGACCTGAGCTCCCTTCGCGGGGGGGGTGGGGGCGTGCCTTGGTCCTGTACCACAGTTTTAGGTCAAACAAATACGCGTTCAAATGTAGCAGGACCCTCGCAGTGATTATTTTATGCCTACCAGCATTTCATAACAACGCAGGGTATTTTTCTAAACAGACAACATATAGCTATAGTGAAAAACTGGAAACTTTTTTTTTCCAAAGGAAAGGCATAAGATGGGTTTGAGTTACTTGGAAATTATATTACCTGGATAGTTACGTTAGAATTATTAGCAGAGAAATAGCTAATAGGAATTTTTTTTCAAGTGCTTTGATAATTTAGGAGCAAAAATTTTATTCCCAAATCAATGGGATCAGTGCTTCTAAATGCTTTTAAAAAACAATTTATAAATGGCCATCATTACATTTCACAGCTAGAAACCCCACTGAGATTAGCAGGTAGCACAAACTTCTCAAAATAAATGTTTCAGTGATTCACATCACTGAATCAGTGTCAGTCGTGTCACCTTTTCAAGATAAATTTTCACAGCTATAGGAATTAGAAACAGCTTTTTAAAAATAAGCTTGTTTTAGCTGAGCTGTCAGTATGGCAACAGTGAGAGCAAACACTAAGCCCCTCACAATAAGAACCCTCCTAGAATCTCCAGAACTGGTGAAAATTAATAGTTTGAAACAGCAGCAAATTCTGTGATGGAAAACGTATAACAGATTCAAATTAGAGCCCTGTTTGAAAATGCCACCAGTGGATGCTCAGCTACATTTTTACAGCCCATCATTTGCTTGTGCAAAAGTTGTAGTCAAAATATCATTACTTATATTGAGAGGATAATTTGAAAATGGTCTCTGTTAAGGTACACTCAAAAAGAATGTTCAAATGTTACACACACTGACATAGAGGTGCATTTAGAAGTGTTAGAAATTGGTTGTAGTTTTAATTTGGGGGATGAAACCAGCAATATCTTGTTACTTCAGGTTCTACAGTGCAGGTTCTGTCTACGTGCCTTTAGCTTGCTAAAGAAATAATTCTGGTGAAAGCTTTTGTGGAGTATCAGTCCCAAACATGGAACTGAGTGGCAACCTGACTATCAGTAGTTCATAAAATTTGTATTTGGTACTCTGCTATCAAAAAATTGATCTCTTGTATTACCTACAGATTATTTTGAACAGGTTACAATGACAAGAAGAGCAAGAACAGACCTTGGATAAGCACAAGCAGATATTGTTACACACAATAATAAAAAAGGTTTGTGGTTTTTTTTTACACGTCTCAAAGCATTTTTGTTTGCTCATTTTCCCCCACAGTGCAGGAAATCTGCAGTGATTTCTTGAAAGAAGCACTTTTTGCACTAATCTTAACCACAAAAAGCAAATCATTTGTCTGGATTCTTTTGATTATTCCTTATAATCTGAGATATAGGAATATTCTGTCTCTTCATTTAAAGTATACAGATGTCAACAAAAGGCATTATAACTGAGAGAAGTACAGTGAACACACACATCCTGGTAATCTAAATAACATTGGCAGAGAATCATAACACAGTTTAGTTTGAGGGTTTTTTTTCCCCAAACATACAGATATGTCTTCATTAATATCCCTGGGTTTGAATACGGTCATAGTACAAGTGAAAAGTCTTACCCAAACCAATCCAAAGTCTTTTCAGTTTTTACTGCAAATAGCTTGATGTCCTTTAAATCTGAAAGGATGCTAAATACTAAAGGAACATAACTGAGGGGGTTGTTTTGTTTTTTAATGGAGAAGAGTTGGGTGTCCCATGTCAAATCTATAACCTTTGGCCAAAGCTCTCCCTCCCCCTGGGCAGTCCCTTCTAGGGCTGTACCTCCTGCTACAGAATTTGCTGAACAGGTAACAGGGGTTTTTAGGATTTCAGGGAAGCTCACTGCTTTCCCTTCCTGCCTGGACTCTGGTCAGTTCCGTAGCTCCTACTCAGAACACTCACAACAGAACGCAATGGCACAGACACCATTTCTGTCATGGTGAGTTCTCTCTCCCATTTCTTCTCTGCTTTCCATTTTCACATAACAGAGTCGTACTATCCGAGCCCCTCTACTGGTCTTGAAAAATGCAGGGCCAGGAGGAAAATAATTTTTTTAGTGTAGTAAATTGTGAAGGGCTTGCACAACATTGAAGGTACCTTTAAAATGGGAAGTGCTACCAAATAAATGGACTTCCCGTTGGTCTTCCTGCTTAATATTTAACAATATGAATCAAAAGACAATGCAGCAGAGAGAAATCCTCTTGTTTCCTTTGAACAGCCACTTCTCCTTCTCCTTTCATTGTACTTTGCCCCAGTTTTTTTGGGCTAATGAAAAAATAATATATACCGAGTAACATGTAAGCAACCTCTTACTTAGGTCTATAGATTTCCTGCTAATGGCTGGCATTTCTTTCTGCAGGTGATCAAAAGGTCTTTGCAACACATTATGAAGAAACCTTTACTACAAGATTCTGGAAGGAAAATACGATCCTCAGGTACAAAATAATTTTTGCCATAACACTATAATAAGTTGTTGTGTAATCATATTAGTGGAGGTTCCTAGGAAATCACTCTTCTCCTTCCCTCCATAACCTTTCCACTGGTGGGAGGGGTAATTTTAAAGACATGAGATCTTATGTTTCACAAAAGCAGGAGTCAAGCAGAGAAGGGAGACCTTATTAGTCATCCCTGCATATAACGCTTTTGTTAGACTCCAGTGACTCCAACCACAAGATCTGATCCATTGGAGCCGGTGTTTCTTTCGCTTTATTGCTCACAGGACTTACTTGCTTAGAGACTGTTATACTGTTTTATTAAATTATACATAATGTTGGCTATCCTGTACTTTCTGTGGCATTTGACCACCTTAAAATAAATTTGTAGCTTGATCTCATTTTGACCTGAACATCATATTCACAAAGCTTGTGAATTGAAAGAATAATTAATTTTAGAAGCTGAGGTGTTCTCAAACGCAATGGGTTTGAAGCAGTCTGAATCGCTAATAGGATTCCCTTCAGAGATAACATTGTTTCATAAATCAACTTGTTTGCATTTAAACATGATGTTGGTTTATTCATCCTCACTTTTTGTACAAATTGTTTCCCGAATAATGCAAACAAGATTGGTAACAGTGAATAACTATTCCATGTCTGTCTAGAAAGCTCAGAGGATTCTAAGAGTTTATAGAGTACAACTTCAGTCCATTTATTTCTGACATCTTTTATCAATATTTCCTTCCCGAATTTCCACTTACGATGACCACAAGCCTTTTCCTTCTTCAATGGAAACAGTATACCAATCGTTAACATTATGAAGTCTGAATATCTCATGATCGATAACATACGGAAGTTATCTAACAGCAGTCGTCTCTGACTAATTTTCAGTGAGGCTGTGCGAAGTACTTCAGGTAATACTGATGCTGATGTAGCTGTCAGTACTGCTACAAATCTGTTACACTCTGTATTTAACAGTGCTATGTCCCTCTGTGATGAAAAATCACTTTCATCTTTCTTAGCCTTTAAAACAGTATCAGCTTCCTTCACAGTATTTGCTGAAGGTTTGAAAACCAGAAAAGAATACATAAGATCAATTAATTTGGGGAGAAAGTGATCTTTTAGTGATTTATATAACTTAATCTCTGGGTCAGGTCCTCTACGTGATTTGGTGCCCTCAGATTCTCCCTTCAGATGCTGAGCTTTAACTTGGACTCTAACTTCTCTGACATGAGTCCTCAGAAGGTGATGTATTTTTCTGTTTCGTTTTCTAGTAGCTATTATAATACGGTCTTCTCTTTGACTTCTTACCTTACACACTGTAACAGCATGTCTTTTCTTCTCTGTCTTGCTGTACTTTTGTCTACATTGATATAAAATACACACTATTTTTTCTGAAACTAGAGCATGTAGTAGACACCCTAGGAATAGAAGCTTATTCAACATTGCACCTATATTTTTACACACCTCCAGATTGTTTATTTCAGAGGTAAGAAATCTGCATTCTGTGTTTTCTTCCCTTTCAATTCCTGAAGTTGTCTCAATGAATTTTCTCTTTAATGCAACCTTATAAATCCCATATAATGAGCTGCTAGGTAATGTGCCATTATGGAAACATATCTGATTTTTGCTGTTTTCAACCTCCAGTGCTAGAAATGGGTTGAAAAGGAAATGGTTCAGTTCACATTTTCTGTGCCTCTGACTAACCAGACAGTCTCTTTGTGTTGTCAAGGCAGAAAGAGAGATGGACCATGTCATTTGGCCTCTCTTCGTCTGAGTAAAAGAATCCTGTAAGGAACCAGATAGTGATATATAATATACTGGTGTGATCAGCAAATGGTTATGTGAATAAAACAAATAAATCTTTAGTGAGTGCAGCACTTGTTCAGCCAAGACACCTGCCTGGATAATATTTTGTGTCAGGAGTGGACCTGATGAATAGAATTCCTGACTTCTAGTATCTGAAATATCAACTGGAAAATGTAAGGTAAGGTTTAAATCTCCCTCAGTAGTGAGATTTTCAGAAGAAAGCAAGAAAAAAATGAAACTATCAAGGGAGGTGTCTTGCTTAATAGTAGGGATGTACACCAAACAAAGGGTAAATACTCTGCCTAGTAAACTTATTTTAACCATCACCAATCTCTTTTCTTAATATTTTCTTTTAATTTGAATTAAAACTTTGTGCCAGGAAGCTGGCCAATACACTAGCAGCGGTATTATCACCTCATCCTCATGTTGTCTTACTATTAAAAAAAAAAAAGTATTACCTGGAGAAAGGTACTTTTTTTGTTGATGTAGGTTGTTTTTGGGGTGGTGGGGTGGTTTTTTTGGTTCCCTACTGGTGGAAAGTGTATCTGAAACAAGCCAAATTCTGGACACGTATCACAGGTATAAATTTTGAAACTATTGAATCAAGACACTCCTTAACTGCTCTGGGGCGATCCTGTGAAAAAGGACAATCCTATCAAAATTTCATAGTATTACCTCATGCTAAAAACCCTGTGATTGTCTCATATTCTCTGTGTAGTGAAAAAAGGATTATTTCATATTTCCCATGCAGTAAAACCCAACATTATCTCATGCTTCTAGCTGTGCATTACTGAAAACAGTAACTTGTCATGAAAAATCTCACAGGATTCAAACATAAATTATAGTGATTATAGTGATTTCTGTATAATTTGATACACCTTTAAAAATACATAGAAACTCTAATAAGTGCAACTGCTTCTCTTTATGTCTTAGTTGCAGTCTTCTCCAACACATAAGTAAGCCTCCTATTTCAGTCTACTTTCTTCTCTCATCTTGCTTACCACATCATTCTCTACAACTATTGTATTCTTAGGGTTGCTCTGCATGTTGTTTTCCCACCATTCTTCCACTCTAATGCTTTACTCTGTTATTATTTCTGAAAAAGAAACAAAACACACTTTAATTAAAGAAAGCTTCCTCCCCTGCCTGCCTTATGGACTCCAGTCATGTAACTCTAAATGTACTCACTGTTGCAGCCATTGCTGTTTGTAGTTTCAACGAGGTTGGCACCACACTCTGAAGAACTTGTTCTTGGAATGGAAGCCTTCCTGACCATAGGAAACCACAGACAGACACGGGGAGAGAAAAAAAAAACAAACACACACACACATAGAGTGAAAAAAGCTATCAGTGAAAAGACAAATTAATTCAATGACGCTTCCACTGAAAAAAGTGACATGGATCTTCTGCAATAACTTTCTAATTAATACAAAACATTTTTGAGAAGCACATATTTGAGGGAGAAGAACAGAGATCAGAGGCAGGAACAGCATTCAGAACTACATGGCTTCTCCCCTGAAGTCAATGTTCCTGTTTGTCTGATTTGTCAAGTCTTTATTTAAGCAATTAGTAGATATCACAAAATTATTTAATTTATCATTAACTCTCTTAGCATCTGGAAGTGAAATATCAATAATGTGATATTTTCCACACTTTCTTGAAGAGAAACAGATCTTTTAAATAGAGCTGATCTCTTGTCTTTTTCCTTTTCTTTTAATAGTAATTGGACATCTGCTCTCTTGAGAAGAGTCATGAGCTATTCTCCTTTCTGTCCAGTTTGTGTCCTGCGGTGATAGAACGCCTCCACAAAGTCTGTTGTCTTGGACAGCTTAAATGGCTTTGTTCCTAGACCCTGTTGTTTTGGCTGGCTGAGTTCCTGTCCATCAAGATGCACTTACTTACAGGTAATTTGGCATTTCAACATGGAATTACAATGAAGTATACAAATGAATTGCAGATTTATTTTAGTTTTCCCTAGGGTTTTCTCTGTTCCTCTAAGCTGTATGTGTGGCATTCAGGTCTCTACATTGTTTTTAAATAAAAGCTGGATTATGTGGAATCTATTCTAATCAGCTACCTTCTTACAGTAACCCTTGTACGATATGTTTCTGGAGAAAGAAGGCCAGATGGACCTGTAGTGAAAGGTGAATTGCTTGTAGCAAAACATGCCATTTGTTACCTCAGTAACTATGTAACAGCAAGGATTTTTGCATACTTTCCTGTTTCCCCCAGGTCAAAACAACAGGCTTTATCAGTACCGTTTGTTGCGGGGGGGGGGTGGTGGTGGTGGTGTTTGTTTCAAGGTGGGAAGCGGTTAGATCTGGATTCGCTCTACCTGCATACACTCTGCTCTGCTAACAGGTTATGCAGCTCCTGGGCATAAAGCCACACAGAAGCCTACTCTAATCCAAGGCATTTTTTCAGTGTTAAATAGCAAATCACTCTCATAAAACCAGTTCTGATTTAAAAAATATATTGATAGGTTAGTTTTACATTCACAATGTAAATATTTTACTATCTTTGCTAAAATAGTTGTTGGCATGATGCCATATCTTCCAGTGAATCCCAGTAGTTAGAAATAGCAATAGTTTTATGTGCTGAGCTTTTACAGGAATGTAGTGAACAGAACTGAGCATGCTCTTCAAAGATCGGGACTCCCCCTTTGCCAGAGAAGCAACGTTTATTGACTATGAAACTACACATTCCTGGACAAAACTTGATAAAATAACATAGGGAGTTAACGTACTGAACTGGTTTTCACATTAATTTTGGGTGAGGACAGTACTGTTCTTATGAATTCCTACAACATGATGTAAAATTGTTTTATAACACTCATCTTTGAGGAGACATAAAAGCGCAGTCTTTTCTTTGCAACAACATTCCTCATAATTTTTTTCAGAAAATAAATTAAAGCTACTCACTTTGCTATGTATCAACCTGAGACTGACTAAGATAGCTCTACAGTAGCCTTTCCTCCAGCAGGTTCCAGCAACAGTGGGAGGTTTAACCCTAGACTACTGTTTATCTTTTCCAGTTTTAAGCTGTTTTTTTTTCATCCCAGTCCTTGCCCACTTCTCCCTCTTTCCTCCCTCCATTCTCTGCTGTTCCTTTCACTCAGACCTTCAGTTCCTTTCCTCTATCTTTATTTTGTTCTACTTTCCATCATTCTCGCCCTCTAGCCATTTCAAACACTGCCTGCTTCTTAATCATCTTTGATTCTTTCTCCTCCTTCTCCTTGTAGGTTTGCTTTCCCAAACCATACCATCTTGATGAATCGTAGTAAATAATCAAATACAGCATGAAATCAGCTTAACAGCAGATTGCTGGCAGATTGGAAAAAATAAATCCTCGGCTGATAAAAATTTGATGACTCATCTAAATATAAAAGGAGAATTTTTTTCCCGCTGTTCAGCCAGAGCTTTTCCTATGCAGCGCCTTTCTTTTACGGGTTACTTTCACTGTTACTTATGATTTGGTTTTATAAGCAGAGCAATGAAATCCTTTCTCTCCACCCTTGTATCCTGAATAGATTTGTTGGTAGGGAAATCTGCCCCAAGCAGCCTGAGAGGAAGAAAACTTGGAAAGGAAGGGGGGTACAAGTGACAACAGGGACAAGAAAATAGAGCACTGATTTGCTAAATTCTAAAAGATTTGATGTATAATTTTAGGGATTCCATTTCCGTATCCTAAATTGCAATTAATATCATCTCTTCAGCATCCCTCCATATTGCATTACTGTTTAAACTAAAACCACACTAGAATCCTCTGCCGAAAGTGCCACAGAAATGCTTACTAACACACAATATGGGGGAGAAAACTTTCTGCTTTCTGATTCTGGATCAAACATATTAAGTGTAATAGTGGAAACTTGATAGCACAATATTTCTCTTTACATTTTAAATTTAATATATCCCGTTAAAAGGACAAGTCAAGGATGACACAAACTCTCAGCTAACCCTTACAAGCCCCAGTTCCACCTTCTTCCAGTAAGTTATGATATGGGTGGTAGATCAAATCTGGGAAAAAATTAGAATCGTATTAATGACAGCTGCTAGCAATAATGCTTGTTTATACAGCTGAAAAGAGGGGAGTAGATTGAAGTATCCACTTGAGACTCCTCTTACATGTTGGTCACTTCAGGCAAGAGATAAGGACTTTTAGATGAAAAGTGTTTCTTTCACTGATTAGTTCTCTAGCAGAAGATGATTGTGCTACCTCAGCTTCCGAAGTGTAAACGTAAGACAAGACAATTTTTAGCCAGTTACGTTCTTTTCTTTATACTAAAGAAGTTGATCATGATTTTATGAGATTTCCCAAGCTAGTCAGGTATATAAGATAGGTTCAAGGGCATCTATGTTAAGACAGAGTTGCTGCCCTTGTTTCTTTTCTAATAAAGAGGCCCTCCTACTTGTTCTGCCAGTTAGGTAAAGCTTCAGTAAATTGATTTCCTATAAAGAAATACGAGTAGTTGAGGTTCATCTTCCAACTGTCTAATGAAAGACTTGCACAGACCTGTCGTTGCTGTTATTCTAAGCTTCTGTACTTTGCAATGCAAGGCTCTTTGACCATAAAACTCAGTAGATTGTGTCTCCAGCCTTCCCCTAATTTTACTGTATGCAAGAGGAAAGGGATCGTTTCACAGCCTACCCTCTGAATTCTCTGCTCTCTGAAGACTTTTTTCTCTTCTCGGAGACAAGCTTGACTTCTAAAGAAATACTCTCCCTACCTCTGTGAGACTTGAATGAATTTTTCTTTAGTTAGTTAAAGCTGTATTCTATTCTAATAACTTTAGAGCAATCTGTAAATGTTCTTTAGTGAGCAACTGCTGTGGCATTCCACTGCTAAGACAGGATTAATTTACCTAAATGACTAAGGCAGGGGGTATCCTCTACAACAAGTTTTTTTTTGATACAAACTCTGGGAAAAACTGGCATTCAGTGGGTTTCCATGACAGCAGCCGAAGTAAAACTAGACCAGCTATTCCAAAGGTTGCTCATTGAAAGGCACTGATCAGAGAGGCTGATTTGGCAATGTGATTCTGGGAGAGCAAAGAACAGAATCGCAAGAACCTTAGGTTATCATAGCCAAGGAGAAATGCAGCATAGGAGGAAGAGGAAGAGGCTGCAAGTCTGTGATGGCTAAGAATTACAGGGGCTAGTAAGTTGCCTCATAAAGGCATAAATACATATTAACAGTATATGACAAAATGAGCTCTTACAAAAAGTGCTGTACTCTTAAAAACAAGAAGGGGCGTAGGAAGTTGACTTGCGTACATAAATGCAGAGAGTAAGTGGACAGTAAGTTTGTTTTGGTTAGGTGTCAGTGTACTGATACGCTTTACTGATACATGTACAGCATCAAATAGCTGACTTAATCCCCGTAACTGCTTACGTGTTTTCATTTGAAGTCCTAATATGCTACTAAAACCAAACCTGCAGCACCTGTGTTCTAGCACGGACATTTTCATACTACTCAAACATGGATCATCCTGAATAAACGGCTTAGCCCTCTGATTTGTTCTAGATGTTAGTTAGTTAATAAGCATCTACCTGGGATTATTCTTGAATTTGATTCTTTCCTTAGTTTTCCTTTTTAAACCAGGAGCTGTAAAGAATTGGGAGCTAATGGCACCAGTTGGTGTGGCTGCCAGTTCAATGCAGTGGAACAGTTTCTGATCCCTAAGCACTTTGGTAATTTGCTTCTACTTCTCAATCTTTCAACAACATAAGGGTTGACTAATGTTTTAAAATGTTAGCACTAACTCTAGGTAGACTGTAAAATCTCTCAGAAATGAGTGTACTACATGTATTTTTTACAAAGCAACTACAAGTAACAGCTCAGAAAAGACATTGAGAAAACTACAAGCCAAGAAATAAAATATTACAAGCAACAAGTTGAGACATCCACATTAATTATGCTGAATAACCATACCAACCTTATGGATAATTCATTACATACTTTTACATTCAAATAATTAGTACATGATTACCAGAAGAAATTTCTACTTGATTAAATAGCTTCAGCAATCTGAAGCACTTTTACCTGCAAAGGAAGTAGAATGCTCCAATTATGAGAACTCCTAGAAGAAGTAATGAAGCCAAGAAAGCTGCAAACAGGTCACCTTTTGTTTGGGACTTGATGCTGGGCAGCAAAACTTCCTCACAGCGGGCTCCTGTGTAATTCTCAATACACCTGGGAAACCAAGTTTTCTTCAGATTAGATGGTAACTTGTCATCTAATATGAAAAGCACAAAGGCTTCTTTTGGTCTTGGGTGGGGAGAGAACTTGTTACGGCATAATTCAAGGTGTATATTTGCTTCACAGCAAGTTTTCTTACAGAATTTCCACTCACCTCGTATTTCTGGAACAAAGAGAATTTGGCATGTTGGGCATCAAGTTTACATTCTGATCCACACTGCTTTTATATATTAAAACATACCTTTCATAATGCATTCATTGGATTAGCAATATACTTCACAGTGGTGTACGTTGCAGTTAAATCTGCCTCCTCCACTGGCAGATTTAATTAAATCCACCTCTTCAGTGGGTCATTTAACTGCATCATCCCACTGGTTCTCAACAGTAGTCATGCTTTCTTTTCCCCCTACCATGTAACTTTCTGGCTTGCTTTGCTGAAGAGTTAGTACTGTCAGCTAAATAGATCAAGGAAATGGGAATTCACTGACATACTGTACACCTTAAAATGCAAAAGTAGTTTATGCAGTGTAATAATTCATGCCAGAACATGTTACATGCTTGGTGAATGACCCTCTCTTGAAGAGACCTAGCTAAAAGGCTTCTCTACTATGCCTATTTTCATATCTTCTTAAGAAAGGATTAAAATTAATATGGTATTTTACCATGGTAAAATGGTATGATATTTTATTAAAAATAAATAAAATAAATGGCTTAGTAATTCATATTGAGTAAAAAATAGATAGGTCGAAGCTAAACTAATCTTCATTTGTCATATTTTGCACTTATTCTGATAGTTTTCTTAAAGAATTTATTGCGTTAGAGAAAATGGAATGCACTTCAATAACTACATTCTGCATGTATCTTTTATGTATGTAAATTTGCTTCTCTCTATTTGTATTGCTAAAGATCTTGCTCCTTCTTGCTATTTCTGGCCCTGAAGTCATAATAATCTGTGACATAAGCAATTTCAGACTCCAGCTGAGAAAAATGGGCTGAACTCTGTAACATACTTGAAGTTCTCAACTGTCATTGGCAGCTGCAAGGTATAATTTCAGATGAGGGATAAGAAGGCGGAGTGGGGAGGAACTGCCAAAAAAGAAAGATGTCTAGCATAGCTAAACAAGACAAATGGATCACCGTGAGCATACCAACGTGTATGCTTGATGTGACTCCCAGCACTGCTTTCTGTGGATTATGGACTGCTATTCCAGCACTACTGGTCTAAACTATTGCATAAAGAATTACTACTATTTCTTTTAATTCTTTACCTTTGGAAATAAAATGGAAGCTTTAGACACTAGCAAAAAGATTGAATTACCATCATATATTAAAGCTGTGCAACTGATCAAACAGCCACCATTTACTAAGGACAATGTGAGACTTTTCAAAGTTACTATGTTTGACTGCTGGGAGAAGGAAGGCTAGGCAGACTGCTCTGATTGCTTGAGATAATGTTCCAGATATTTACTGTAAGTATAGTGGCATTTCAGTGGCCTATTTCTGAAATACTGTAGAATACTTCAAGAATAGAAGTGTAGTTTGAATAGACCATTGTTCTCTAGCAAGTGAGGGAGAAATGCTTTGGAGAGCTGAATAGAGTAACAGGGATAGAAAATGGAATACAAAATTCATAGAAGTATTCTTGAATACCAGTGAAAACTGGAGAATAATGCAAGGCTAAAATGATACAGGAAGAAAAAATAAATAGGTTTTGGCATCAAATTAAGGCTCATGGAAGAGTTCTAGAGAATGAGCATAAAGGGAGCAAGTCAGTAGCCTAAAGAGAAAAATTAAGCAGGAAGAAGAAAAGACAGTCCTTCTACCTGAAGAGAGTTGCATGTGGGATTAGGTAAAAGGCTAGGGTTAGAGAACTGTCGTGATACAGCAGAGTGAGTTGGCATGAACGGTGCATGGAAGCCATATTCATGCTCTGCGAAAGACCATGGAAAAAAATTTGGAATGTGATGACACTATAGCAAAAAGGTCACTGAGACTGTAGCCACTTGCTACTAAATAGAAAACAGAACCAGATGCTTAAGGTAGTCACAAGTCTTCAAGAGCGAAAGGAGCCAGAAGGCCTGGCTGTAAGGGGAAAACTATAGCCAATATGAATCGAAGTTTATAGCAAAGGGAAAAAGGCCTACACTAAAAAAAAAGCACAAACAAAACTTAAACATCCTGGATGCTGAACCTATTAATTCTTCCTGGATGTAACAAAAACAAGTTTTAGAAATGTGTTTTCCGTGACTCGCCACTTTGATAATATCTGTTTAACTGTGTGCAATGGATTAGGGATTACAAAGCTACCCATCTACTTTCTCTAGGCTGATCTTATTGACACACTTGATGACACACTCGCTGAAAGTGATTCCATGCTATGTAGAAAATACTGTCATATAACCTAAAAATTATGGAGGTTTTCATAGAATCAGGAAAATTGAGATGAGGTATCTGTTGGTTACATTTAAATAAACAAAATTATAGCTAATGTGACCCTACCAACAGGCTCTGCTACAGTTAGGGTATATATGTTCAAATATTGGCTTGCACAAGCTTTTTTGAAGTCATCAGAGCTGCTGTACAAACAGGTGAAGGACTATGTTAAATATAGAAGCAACTGACGCTTTAAGACGACCAAGAGAGGGAAAGGTTTCTACTCTAAATACTTTCCTAAAACTGGTGGGAAAGAAACTAAGCAGACTTCAATAATTAGCAGTGGAACTCACTCAGAAGATCTGCTTATCCTGTTGCATTAGCAGAGCTCTAATAATTTCAGTGGAGTTAAATACATGGTGACTGCAAGCAAGTCAGAAGAGTGGTCCCTGACAAGCATGTGGGCTATGAACATAATCCAGACCGATGGTATCTATATAGTGTCTCCTAGAGGTAGGCAGTCTTACTATACACAGCCTGAAAAGTCAGTAGCAACTCATAGTTTATCTTGTTTGTAACAGACGCCTAAAAGTAGTGCACAAGTGAAGCATGACACACTTGCAGTTGTTAATACAGCAGGCAACTGTGTTTCTGCACTTGAATGAATGAGTGCAAAAGCGAGAAGCCTGCTTCTAGGCTATACTAAGAGGGAGTTACACTAATTAAGCCTTGTGGTCACTAGGCCAGGTGTTGCTGTTGCACAACATCGGCTGCATGCCGTTAGCCTGCTGTTTCAGCACATGCTGTCTATTGGCTTTAAATGGTCCTAGTATGTAGCATTCCAAAGTTGATTTTTAAAATGGAAAAAAGGTCATTCCTCTTCTAAGAAATCAGAATTTCTAATTCAATCAGAGTTGAAAGACAACAGCCTTCAGACATCTGAGGAAAAGCTGTGAGACTAGAAACTCACATTTTCAGATAGCATCCAGATTTCTGTTTTCCTAGATGCCTGCACACGCATGCACACACACCCACACCTCCTGTCAGAGGAGATGAGCCAGCCTTAACTGTTGTAATCAAACTTACTATAGGAGCTGTGCTGGAGACAAAACACTAACATAATACATGTAAAGAAATCCACAGAATCTTTCAACGTAGGATATTAATCAAAACTACCCATATCGGCATCAATACAAGGTGGAAGGAAATAGATTGCACTGGATAAGATGTCAGGAGATAACCAGTGGGTCTGCAATTATATTAATCCTTTACAATCTGATCAGTAACTAAAATATAAGCATAACAGCCCTCCAATAACACAAAGCATTACTGCTGTCTTGTTTGCAGGTGCAGTTAGTGAGACAATGCAAGTGATTACTGCCTGATTTAGGTAAGAAGGTAAGGTTTCTTTCTCTTCCACCACCATTAAGGTGGGTTTAATAAGCAAGTATCTGACAAACTTTAAAAATGGAAGTAGGATTTGAGTCAAATATGCCCACGGACTCCCATTGCTTTAGTATTATACTATAAGAATCTTGACTTTAGTTTTCATGTAGTCTTCCTTTAGTCAGGAAAAACGTAGATGCTTCTTGGTATAAAAATTACTTGCATGTATATACAAAGCTCTCAGAAAAAGAGAGCTGAAAAATTAGCTGCTTGTCAATGCAATTCAGATTACATGGCTGATAGCTTTGGTCTGCAACAGGCTCCAAGAAGTTGTCCTAATCCATATGCTATAAGGGCATCTAGTAAGTATGAAAAAGAATTTGAAGCCAAAGTGAATAAGCAATGGCAAAGTTAATTGGAAGCCCTAAGCAGCGCTTTAAAAGGTTTTGTATTCAGACGAGTTTCAAAGCTGTTACTCTGAAGCTGTATTCATATAGATAGAGAGTAAAACAAAACTCATGCTACTACTGGAGAGAAGTTGAAGGGGTTATTTTCCCCTAGAACTCCGTTAGCTATGTGTTTATATGGCAAGCTTTACCATATTTGGCAGCGATACTAATTCTGATCACTAATACTTTTCAAACACGTAACATAATGTTGCATTTTATATTTTATGTCCCATTAAAAAGAAATCTTAATTATTGACATTTTTTGGCTATATTTCTGGTGTGTATTCTAGCTTTCGCTCCTACCTTTCAAGCTCAAAGCAGAATTGAAAAATACTAATTGGACGCTCTGTTTTCAGAAAAGCCTGGGCTACGTGAAAGTATAGTTTTGGAGGCAGAGAAAGAAGAAAAGCCCAGGTGAGTGGGAAGCCCTTCAGTGGCAACTTGCAGTCTGTATATTCTGAAGGCTTATGGCACAGCAAGTCTATCAGTCGCGGGGACATTTGAAAACAAGAATGAAGGACCCATCTCAGGGAAAGATCCAGACAAGGATGGGGTATACCGAAAGTGATAGAAGGAATTTACATGGGATTTATTGGATTAGTATAGGACAGGTAGAGGAGAGATTGGATTAGGGTAGAAGCAAAGGGAGGGGAAAGTAGAGATATCCTTTAACCATCACAGGAATTTCAGGGAGGAGATTTCCAAGGTCTTCCTCTGCCCCTGGCAGTACTTAGCCTGAATGCACTGCCTTCTGCAGAGGATGATCCTTTCCTCAAAAGCAGAGCATTTACTATTAATTTCTGGGTGTACTGCCCTCAGAAGCAGAGGAGCTGTGTTTGTGTGATCTTACACCATCTGTGTTTTCGTCTGAAATACTGAAAGAAGGCTCTCAGAAATCTGCCATGTGTAAGACAAAATGGAAGTACCAGAGCTTCCCCTCAGACAACAAAATTTTCACTTAATTCTGCATTAATTAATGATTATGGGACAGCTGTGCATCAGGTGCTGAGGCAAACAGCTTTCAGCCTCATGTTTTATGACACACCTGAGGCAGCCGCTTTTCCATCCTTCTGCATTCTGCTGCATATTTATTTAGTGCATTTGAGCATTCCTGGGTTTGAAGTTCATCTTGTTTATGGTGACAGGTGCACCTTTTGCTGCTGAGAACATTAACTCCTTGTTAGGAAAGGAATGAGGGAAGATGGCAGCTGAGCAACTTCATGTTTTAACACACATCAGCTGTATTTAAAATCTGCTAATGTTGCACAGGGGTTCAACTAATGTTTTGTTTCTGTTTAATCTCTACCTTGTATCCATATCCATTTCTGAGAGTTAAAAGTAACTGAAACTGAAAAGTAAACAGTGGCTTTTAATTTGTTCACATGCTATAAAATATTTCTGAAGAATGATGCAGTTTTCCTAGTTACATTGTGAAATTACTTCCAGTGATGTTGCATCAGGTAATCTGGACTCTGTTCAGCACAACACATTTGTGTAAATAAGTAGCATGTCAAGGCAAATGTGTTTTAAGGTATTTTTACAGTTTGTTAGTCTGCTCTTGCTCCATTTCCCCCTTTTAATCAATGCTGTACTAACGATCATTCAGCCTTTGATTCTGAAATTGAATCAATTTTTCTGTTGGTGGGAGACGATCATTTGAGAACACTTGGAAGCTTTACATGGGATTTGGCAGAAACCTGCATCAAAGAAACTTTGTGCAACTGTGTGATGATGCCAGTCTTGGAAGTTCCAAAGCACCAAATATTTTTCTGAATTCTGCTGAATAGCGATGCATTTTTTCTGTTGTTTCTATTCACATCACTGCTGATTACCAAGATATCTGTGTGTAAACAACACCTTTCTCATCTATAATTAGCCTTCTCTGACTGATTAAGGAACATGCTTAGAATGAGGACATGCTTAAATAGAATGCGGCTATTTAAACCCATATAACTTCATAATCAACCACTAGATACAGAAGAAAAATACTTGATAATTTAAATGCAATAAGATCGCCTGAGTATAACAGAAATGCTCTTAAGATGTTACTTTTCTGCTTCAGCAGATTATAAAATCCTCTAGAATGTGAATTACAAATGGCTTCATTTGGAGCCCTTTTAAAGTGGAAATTATCTATGCTGGCTACCTTGTGCTCCTGAAGAATGAATTGTTCTGAGTATTTGTTACTTCATATTTATAGTTATTGCATCAAATACACCTTCCTCATTACACAGTCTAGCAGTAGTTGAGAGGATGCTTTGAAATTGTGTAAGTGATGCTGTTTAGTCTAACCATTCTTTTTTCATTTAAGTATTTTAATATCAATAATATGGGATTCCTTCTAGAAAAAAACACTTCAACATTTTACTTTTTGTGTGTGCAGTATTCATTTCACATTGCATAAGCCTGCAAGGTTTAGCAGTTAGAATAAATCATCATCATACAGCACTTCCGAGCTTTATCCTCACTTCTGGATCTCACTCATTGTATGACATTGGGCAGTATGCTTAACGACAGGGTTATGCTGTGTATACTTTTTCAATGAGCATTTACCACAGAATTCCTGCTTCTCTCCTCATCTACTAGATGAGTTTACATGCTTGAGTTTAAATGTTTAAATTGAACTGTCCCAAACAAAAGAAAGAAATACTTTAGATAGGCATCTTAGAAAAGATTTTATTTCCTTCTTCAACTGTTTCATCCAGTTATCATTAGTTATAGCTCAAGATTGAAGGGGGAACAGAAGTTGCCACTGAAAAAAAAAGGTATGTAATACATGTCTGAATGCCTGTTACTGTGTCAAGGAAACCCATTAAATTAACCGTAATTTATTTTGATAAACAGTAGCTCAGAATTAGTAAATGCAGAACCGTGAAAAGTTAGAATTTAAGTTAGCATCATCTTATGTCTTGGTAAACCAGAAAATAAAAGGATGGGGCATTATTTATGCAGGAAACTTATCCACATGCAAAACCAGGAAGAGCTTCTTTTCCAGTGTGCTACATGGGCTTCAGAGAGCTGAATGGTCATATAAACAAATGGTGTAAGAAGTATCATTATCAAGTGGTCTTTGGCTGTCACTGTAAAGCTGCCCTTGGAGTATGTCAGTTAGATTCAGAGAACATACTAAGTCTTGAATTACATTCTTTTTTTCCCTGAAAAGATTATATTCCTTTCTGCACCTCCTCATTGTGTTCGGGTCAGGCCATTTTATATTATAAGAATTTTTGCAATATAATTCATCTGGAAGAAAAACTGGGAATGTACTTTGCCTTTCTGAATGCCTTTCCTACAGTGTGTATTCCATGAGGCAAAGGGTACTTTGTTCCTTTCTGTATTGTAACGAGGGGAGGAAATAGGGCTCTAAATATAGATATCCTGAATGCACACGTAACTGAGTACTGTTGCACCTGTCAAACAAGTACACACGTTTATTTTTCTCATATTGTCCTGTCTCTGCAAGCTAAGTAAGTAATCTGAGCATGAATTACTGAATGAGGAACAGTCATAGGTAATAGGTATTTTCTTTTATATAACGCCTTAACAGTAATTTCTTAAAGAAGCAAAGTGGGCTTTGGACAGCTACTGTCCAATACTTAAAACACACAAACTTTAGTTTCACTGACCTGCAGAATGGACTGGATACAGTAGGAATCATATAACAAATCCCTCCATTTAGACAAAAAGATCCATAACTGGTGCCACAGAGTTCTTCATGATCTTGAAAATAAGACCAAAAACAACACAGAGGAAAAATAGAGACTTCTGTATTTTTATCAATAAAAGGAGATCTTAATTATATTTTGGGGGACTGGGGGTGGCTTCCTTAAAAAACAAAAATAAAACCAAAACACACCAAAACAAACCATCACACACAAACAAACAACACCTTATGAACAAATAAGGTATCAGTCTTGCCTTCCAGGCCAGCAACATATACCACCATCTATCTTGCAGAATTGTTTCATGTAACAATATGCAAAAAGATCACAGATTTATCACCGTATCAGACGTGAAGCACCTAAATTATATGAATAAATTTCTCTTGCAGTGAAGGGAACTTTTGAATTCTCTGTTACTTCATTTGCCTTTCATGACCACAAACCATACTGAGTACAGTGATTCCCACCATGACCTGTATGAAGTCTGGTTTGTCAGGTTCCAGTGGCACAAACTGTCTTTAACTTAACTAGCTCCTGTGAGAGAATCGGAGTCAGTACCAATAAACCCAGCGTAGTCTCAGGTGTGGACGAGGACTTTCTAAGACTGCTTCAGGCTGTATTAAGAGCTGAATCATAGTGCAGTTGGACACCCCCAGGTTTTCCCACCCCAATTTTTGACAGCCAGTGGAGGAGCTCGCCTATGCAGTGTCACTTATGTGGAAGACTGCCTGTTACAATGTAATTTCCACAGATCTCAAAAAGGCTTTTTCCTAACTCGCTATCTAACTGTACTATTTCATTCTTTTTGAAAGCAGTCTAAATTTGGAAGTTGGACTGCATATTTTTGTGATACATTTAATGCATCAGTAACTCATTTTATATATATGCAAATATTTTTATATATTTCTTCAATCTTACGAAACCACAATATCTCAATTTAAAGAAAAATAGAGCAGTCTTCTGACATCACAAGCATGAGAATGCTGTGTTACCTCGCACCCTAGGTGTTGTTTTTGCTGTTATTTCTCCCAGAAGTTCTGAAAATAAGAATTCTGCTGTCTCACTATGTATGTATAGAAGACATGTTATATACAAAATATAGTGTTGTATAAGAGAAATCAAGATCTAAATTTTCTTATTTGTCCTTCAGGAAAAAGAGTTAGGGTTCCCCTTTATTCCTGTAGAAAAAAACGTGAGAAGTGTGGCCATAAGACATACTACCCTAGGGGGAGCTTCTACAGCTTTGTATATAAAATAAACCTGACTTTTCTAAGAGTAGCAGAAAACCTTGGCTACTTCTAACCCTGTGCAACAAAAATATCATGCATCCTGCTATGCTCTGGACCACCTCTTGTAATTCCACTCTTCTCCCGTCTTTTCATACAGTCTTCTATTTCTATGACAGCATATTGACATACAAGTGTGAGTAAAGTCCTTGTAGTATTTTAAGACAAAGGCAGTTATACCACAGAGCTCAACAGGAACTCAGTTTCATGTTCATGTTATCAAAGTGCTACCATCCAAATGGTAGATGGACCTTTTAGCACGTGTGCAGATAAATTAGGGAGCTGGAGGACGGGGGAGATAAGGCTGGAAAGATTGTTCATGTTTGACCTTGTTGCATTAGCTCAGGATGTGGCATAACAGAAATGTGTGTTCTGCCCTACCTTGTTAGATGTTAAATGGATTTTTTTTTAACTCTGAAGCTTTCTGTGCTTGTCTACTGGCAATTCATTTACTGCATGGTCACTATTAAAAGACTTAAAATTATTTTGCATGGGTAACAGTATAATTGCAATAGGAATAAAATGGTAACAGGAAAAAAACCTAGGAGGTTTTTAAACAAGAACTATAAATTACTTTATTTTATTCTATTCAAGCATAACAGTGGAACTTCTGTGACAGTGTAATTAAATCGAAGGCTACATCCTTCCTTAAATGAAGAGAGGGTTTTGAATACAGTGTATCAGGATATCTCTAAAATTTTAAGAATCGAGAAAGAAAAAGCAAAACTCTCAACTTTGACCTGTTCTCAACTCTATTAAGCATCTGAGGGAGTTAAGTGTTGTTGAAATTCTACTAGATGGAAAAGTGGGATGATAGAAGGTAGGCCGCACAGAAAAATCCCTTTAGACAGCTCATGGAAAGCCTTCAAAGAAATTCTCATGAGAATTAATGAGAACTTGTTAACCTCCTTAAAATCCTGCCTTATGGTTCTATTTCTTTTCTTCATCTTTATGCAGAAATAGGCCTGTCTCACATTGGCATAGTGGTAAAGTACTGAAGAAAACTAAATGCCTGAAGTCATTCAGGTCTCAGAACACTTGGAAGAATGATTCTCTCACTGTTACGGTGTGATCTGTGTATTAAGGACCAGCTCTGCAGCCCAACTAGACACTTCTGTTCCGGCAAAATACCTCAGGCACTCTGTGTTAGGCCTGTTGGAGAAAAATGAGAGGGGGTGGAGAGAGAGAGAGCAAAAAGTGCCTAGGAAGCCTTCAAAACCTTTTTGATTGTAATTATAGACAATTTCTCTATAAGCTGTTTCTTTCTAGACCTAATCTTCTTTCCAGTGCTAAAGGAAAAATGGTAACCTTAATTTTACCAGCAATGAGATATCTGAAGTAACCTCTTCCATGTAAATCAGGTGCCCCATTTTCCATCCAGTTGTGCTTTTCATTAGTTCTACTTTGTGTATTAATACTTTACTACTACTAATTGAAGGTACCAGAGTAACACAGTATAAAGGAGATGACAGAATTATAAAAGAGAATAAAAGAAAACTCAGGATGCTCTAATATTAAAAAAAAAAAAAGCTCTAATACTTAAAAAAACCCCATACAAAACCATATATTATTGTACTCCATACCCGCTTTACTGAGTTTGGATCAAATTTGAAAGCTACAGCTCTATTATTTATAGACAGGAAAGTATGAAAGCAATAGTTTATCCCTTTAAATTTATAGTCAACGATGCAAAAGAGTATACTGGAGAATCAGAAGGGGTTCAGTACAAGCCAAAACCGAATTACATTAGCATTGGTGAATGTGTTATGATTTTTCATGAGGTAAGTCAATACATTATATTAATCTAAAAATGCAAATTGTATGCTTTGAAAGTCAAATGTATACTACATTCAGACCGCCATAATCAAGATAGGAAAGTTTAAGAAGTCAAGTGACGATGAGCATTTAAAAAAAATACAAAAGATGTATCTTTTCAGCTAATACAACTGTAGAAACTCTATCAACATATGCTCTACATAATCTATATATGTATTTTGATATATCCTTCTATGTGAGAGATTAAATAAAGAGAAGTAGGACAAAAAAGTTACTTTTAAAAAAAGTTAGTTCTTGGTGGGAAGAGAAGTGAAGAGGAATGAAGCAAGAGTGTTCTTTCTAACGCTAGACTCTGAATACTTAAAACTGGCAGAGGTAATAGCAGCCTCTAAATACACTGATTCTCAATTATTCTTTTGAAAACCTGTCCCTAAACTATCTTGTCTGTCTGCATTTAAACTTTTGTAACCTGACTGTCCTATCTATTTAAAAAAAACACAAAGTCTCAACACCACCTTAATCCCCCAAAAACCAAGCCAACCTTGATAAACCACATGTTGACTCTGCTGTTTTGTCTAGTTCAGAGGCTAAAATACTATAGACTGTCTAATCTGAAGTCTGCTAAAACAAAAAAGGGGGAGGAATGGGAAATGTTGACAGAAGATAACGGGGCTGATGCTTGCTTGCTTCCTCACTTATAAGCAACTTTGAACTGTATGCTAATCAGTCTCACACTGTGAAGTACTAGGATTGACCAAAGCAAACATCTCCTTAGAGAATTTGTACCACTGACTGGTGGAGTCTAGTTTGCTAACTAGTAACTGATGACAGCCCTGCGGAGCAGTTGTGACAATCCCAAAGGCAGCTGTCAAAATCAATGCAATTTCCATGAATTGTAATTATATATGTATACACATCCAAGTAAAGACTTGGAAGAAATTACCTGTTCGCATATTATTCCGACAACAATTTTTATTCTTGGTCAGAGGCTATTCTTCTAAAACGGCACCTAAAGACAAACATGTAAATTTAGCATGTCATTTTTAATCCTGGTGACTTTCTTCCCTGAAGAAATAACTGTTGGAATGCATCTTTCAGTGTTGTACTTTGACAGTCGTAGACTGTTATATTATATGTAAGTTCCATTAATTCCAGTTAATGGCAAACATTCAAATCTACTGTCAAGTTCAGTGAACTCCTAAGGGCAGTATTACAGAGTAAAACCAAATTCACACTACAGCACGTTTAATCAAGGAATACTTTTTTCAAACTGCCATGCTTACTCAGAATTGTAATATCTGATGCTTTTAGGCAATCTAAACTATTGTTTCTGGCTCGCTAATTAAACTGACATTTGTACCTTGAAAAAGTGCATACAACTGAACCAGTCCTCAGACTGGTAATTATTCAGTCAGGTAAGATCTCAGTGGTAGAATTCTTGCATTTTGCAAACAACAACTTCACAATTTGTAATTTCTCAGAGAATGTGTGTGTTTCACTGGAGTGTTTCTCATAGCTGGATGTCAGGTGAAATTAGTATTATAGGCCATGAATTTAGCAGAACTCAGCAAGGTCATGACTTGTACAGTTATTTTTAAAATATGGAATAGAAACTCTCTGCCTGGACAGAAACCAATCTTCACTTGACATTGCTAAAAAGAAACTTACTCTGTAGACATGCCAACTCTATAACCATCTAAGGTTGCTATATTCTGCTTTCTTGTAAGGTATAGTCAAGGTTTACCAGGCCAAAGAGGTTACTGAACAAGCCTAAGGTGATAGATCTTACTTTTTAACATTTGCTCTTCTTTTCTTAATTATACTTTAGTGTACATAAAGCAAATATTTAAGGAAATTGTCCTATATGGGAAGAAAGATTTTTTTTCCCATTAAATGATCAAATAAAATAAATTATCAACTTTACCAGAAATAATTGCCTTATACTTCAGCTTTTAGTAAGAGACAGGTAACTGTCTGCAGAGGCCCACTTCAAAAGGTATAATGCATTGGTACTTACTCTAATAAGCAGACAGTTCTGTTTTTCATGGGTGACTTCTCTAGCTCTTCAAGTATCCTGTCCATACAAGAAAATCTGAAATGGCAGTTCCCTGTGATACTAGGCTGTAACAGCAAGGTCCCCACCCAGAGGCCGTCTTCTTGGGCTGTCCCACAGATACGCAACTTTTGCCTACTTTGTGTACACAACTCAGTGCAATTAACATAGCATGTGGCACAAAGAAACCAATGTGATTCACTTCAGAACTAAAATCCTGGTTTTAGAAGAAATAAATCATCCTGGAGATGGTTACTTTTAGCAGTCAAGATCTGGATTCTGTATGTGCTGTTAAAAAGGCTTCAAATTTACATATAGTGCAATGTGGGTGAGGTTACAACAAAGACAAATATGCATACAGAGGCCAAGTACAGAATGAGGTAACACCCCGTTATGCTCACAGAATCACTTGCATATTTTTCTAGGGTTACCAGTACTACAATTTATTGCTGAATTAAAAACATTCACATAATGTAGTATATAGAAATTGCATCATAAAAATACTATATGCAGCAGACAAAAATCTGATTTAAATTTATATTTTATTGGAGCAAGCAGTCCTTTTTCATTTACTTTCCCTTTTCTCAGAATGTTCCACAAAATTGTATAATATCCAATAGCTCTCATAACAGAAAATATAAATAGGATATATAACCTAAATTTCAGACTAGCTCCTTTACTAGATTTAATTAGGATATAGGTCCTTGAACAGACAAAATAACTTGATTTTGCTACTGCAAAAAGGATATCTTGCATCTCCTTTCCTTCATCTTATTGTCAGTGTGCATCTCACTATCTCTCTGGTACTGCTACTGGTATAAGTTGAACTTTTTCAGGAGATGCTTAAATCCAGGGATCCAGCAGAAAATTTGTTAGAGGGAGCTGACAGTTTTCTACTGCATCAGTGTATTAAATGGATGTGCTATGCACCTTATCAGCTGTTTGGACTAGGACTAATTTTTACAGGTACTACAAATTGTTTATAAGCTGACTACAGAGAACAAGACAATTTGAAGGAGGCTATGGGACTAATAATTGCTTATTTTCAACCTTGTTGCCTGCATATTCAAGGAAACGGGGTGGTGAAGGAAAGGTGTGAAAATCCTTCCTAAACAATATGTGTGTATGCATAATTCTGTTCTTTTAAGTTCTGAATAAGGTCTAAAGATCACTTTCAAAAGAGATGTTGCTGACAGCATTCACAGTTGCTTTTTTTTTTTTTTTTAAAGACTGAAAAGTAAATTATTAGGTAGTCATGTATTTATCAGTAAATGTTTTTCTCTGGGGTGCTCGTTGCACTCTGAACAGAAGTTCAAGTATACATCAGTGTCCTAAAAAGAATAAATTGACTCTCTATCTCATTAGAAAAGTAAGCTGATATATTGTAAAGAAAATTAAATGCTATAGCAGAAATTGTTGCTAAACTCGATTCTAAATTTACTACATCTATCTGTGTATTTGGTACTAGAAACACAGGAGACCATTTGTGCATCTACCTAAGACTTTCCAAACTTGATGTCTTCCTTTAAGACACAGACGTAGTCTATGCTCACAGAAACTAGGAATCCAATTCAATGAATGCTCAAATGTTTATCCTGCATGCGTCTTGGGAGTTTGTGAAAGATTACTCTGTGTATCAAGTTAGAGTATTTTAATCTGAAATTTAAAATACGGCCTATTTTGCTCTGTGACAGCTTGTTGAAAAAAACCTTCAGATCAGTTCTACGCTTTCCCCCACATCTTTGTCATCTAAATTGATATTAATAATGACAATACATTGTTTGAAAGATTACAGTTTATGCATCAAAGTTAGGTCACCCGTGTATACTGATATAAACTGATTATATTTCAGCCTCTTCAATTACTTAGAAGTCCTGGGCATCTTTATTTTCATAGTCTGAATCTGTTAGCAAGGCTTTCAGTTTAGGAAAGGATTTAAATCACAAGTTTAAGAGTTAACCATATCCTAAATCACTAAGTTAAAGCATGTTCAAGTACTTTGCTGAATGAAGCATGAACTCTGTGTGTGTGTGTGTCATACTGAACGCTGCAAATGTGATGGAAATGCTGGGTTACTATTCTGTAGCAGAGAAACCACAGATTAAAGTGGTTTAGAAAGAAAATTCATACACCCTTGTGCTTCTTGAGCACTAAAACACTAGGGGAAAGAATATAGTTTTTTCTTTTGGGGAACTGCTATTGGATTTCTGGGCAAACTGAGCACTTGGACACAAAAGTGCAATGGGTTCAGCTCTTTAGCAAAAATATGTGCTAATATCTGGCCATACTGGAGGCTGGCTGAAACAAGTCTTTTGAACTCATTGGATTTGTCTTTAAATGGAACCTGTGTGCTTCACTCCCAACATACTTAAAACAGAATCCTTATTGCCACTTTTTTTTGGTGTATTTTTAGTGGCTAACTATTCGAAGCATCCATGAGATGCAGTATCCCCAAAAGATGATAACTGGAAGTCTTAATGAGCACAGCCATAAAAAAAGAAAACTCTGAATAATGATTTGGGTTTTGTTTTATGGTTCTTTGCTATTCAAACATTCTTAAAATTAATCTCTATATAAACTCTCCCCCAAATTAAAGAAGATCATTTCAGTCACAGGGCTATTTCAAATATACATTGTTTGTTCATTTAGATTAAGTTGCACCTTACCGCTCTCTTCAAGAATGGGATTTTACTGCATTATGGATGCTTTTTTAAAATCCAAGAGGTAAAATCTCATTCTGCACTAATACTGAGCTCAAATATTTGTGTTGTGAAACAATGAAGGGAAAAAATTTTAAACATTGCACTATCTGCTTAGTAGGCTAATTAAACATAAATTTCCATCTGAGATGTGTCCTTGGTATCTATCAAGCAGTTAGTAGTCTATGCCTCTTACTTTCTCCAAGAGCCAGGAACTGTCCTGAAGTCTTGTTACAAGGAGTTTATTTTCTTACCTAGCTGATAACTTCTAATACCCTTACCATATGAAGCTTATAACTGATTTTAGCACAGAAAATCATCAGGCGTCAGAAAAAAGCCAACCAACTGTCTGAAACAAATGGAGATCTCAATAAGGAAGAATTCGAGATGACGTATTACAACACATTTGTATGTGGACAATGTGTTACTCTGATTTACAGACTGAAAGTTTCTTTTAAGATGGGATGGCCACAATGTGAAGGAACACTAACAAAAGACAGAAGCAAAGGCAGATGCCAAATAGTTCGCAAGTCTCAACATGCTTGTCATTGACAGGTGAATTTTTTGAATACAGTTGTTCAAAATTCTTTCCATTACAGGTTTCTGAAATGACAACAAATGACTGAGTCCTCTTGTCTTAGGAATGCCTAGAGCAAAAATTTAGGTCATATTTTGATTTTACCTGCTGAAGTATGTCTAGGATTAATTATACACTAAAATAGCTGGTAAAACTGTTGTCATGATGTTGAGATTGCAATTTGAGACATTACAGTAAATTTAAGGGAAAACTTTCCATTCCTAAAACTTCCTAAGTAGTTTGCAAGCAACTGCAAATTCCCATCTGAAACCCTAGTTCTACTGTATGAGATAATCATACAGAAGTTGGCAAAGCTACATTTCAGTTGAGGCTTCTGTCAAATGTAACTACTGCAGTCCTACTATGTATTTGTAATTGAGATAGTGATTCCAGTCTCAAGCTTGTGTGTGCTTATGTGGGGAGGAATTAATTTTAGAAGACACTTGCATTAAAAAAAACACTATCAAGCTTGGGAAAAAAACCCACAACACTATTCTTTCATTCTGTGTGCTTACTGATTCCTTCTATGGCACTTTTGCTCTCAAGTTTCACCCCTAAACTCCCTAAGAAATCAACTGGAATGTAAAGGTTCTCGCTGCATGATGAATTTTTATTCATATCTCA